GGACCCAATAACTTGTACAACTCAATCAAATTTAAAACAAACTAAATTATTGTGGTTGTTCACACCCTCTTATAACTAGGGTGTGTTTGTGTTCAGAATGAGTCAGTCACATTCAAAACACATGTTAAGTAGGAGTTAGCACACAAGCTATGACCATTTTTAAGTGTGTTTTAATTTCACATGTTCTTGTAGGCTCAGCAGAAGCCTGAAGGTGTTTTGTATCATAAAACTTGGCATTTGAACAAAGGTGTGCAGACTATTTGTGTCAAATTTATCAAATTTATGATAGTCTGAGAATGTACCAGGCACATGAATGAGTTCTCGAACAATGCGCAGTGAAACAGGCTACACAAAGGTGAACATTTCGAAGCTTTATAGCTTTCCTAACTGGATTTTGCTTGAAGGTGATGTTTTGCAGAGCGAAACTCTGCACTGCTCTGGGCATAATGTTACAGTGTTTGTGAAGGTTATCCTCAACTGCCCTTTGTGGTCCTAAGATAACCCCTAAATACACATAACACTTAGCCAGCACAGACTCCACATGATCGCTTCCTGTCTTCCATCCAAATTACACAACTGAGCTGATATAAGGCATGTATGCCTCGTGCATAGTCCGGGAGATTCCCGCAGTTCATTTATCAGCCAGAAGGGGAGCAAAAGGAACGCGTTCAACGTCTCCCTCCTCTCCTTTCCTTCTTCATACTCTCAGAGCTCTCCCAAAAGCCCCCAAGCATCCTTTTGGTGTGTCCCTACAAGGCTCGAGCGAAAAGCGTCTGGAGGTGTTCTTGGCAAGGGGCAGCTTTGCTTATAAACATTTTTAAAGCGAGGACAGGCTGTGCAGAGGTGGAACGTAGCCTCAAATTGATGCTTCCCCTGGAACAGGGGTCGGCAGCCCAAAATGTTGAAAGAGCCATATTGGACCAAAAAAAAATAAACGAAAAATAAATGTGTCTGGAGTCGCAACAAATTAAAAGCCTCAGAAAGAAGGCAACACATGCTGTATGTATCTACCTGTATATTAGCTATATTAGCCTACTATCAAAATGACTAAGTTGGCTACGAATACACAATGAGCCTTACCGATTAAACGTTTTTTTTCCCTGCAGTGCAACCTGTAGAGCAGGGGGGCCCAACCTTTTCTGACCAAAGTTCTATTTTTCGATTAACCAGTCTCCCACGAACGACCCATGACCACACACGCACGCATACGCACGCACTTACACACTCATGCCATAATGAGCAACAGCCAGAACGGCGACCAAGATGAAAGAGGTACGGGACGCACTTTTGCAGTGTGTTAACTTTCGTAGCTGACGTGTACTGTTTTAAAAATGCTTCTCTCCGTCCTTCAGATTGCCATTCTTTGCCAGTTCCCTCGGTGAATTGGACATGAAATGCCGTTTCTTCTTACAACAGCCACCTGCCTGGCATCCCGCCCTGTTAATAGAAATGTGTCGCAGGCTATGACGCAAATCTTCGTTGACAGAAATGTTGAAATGTAATATTTATTCGACATATTTTAGCAGCATTGGAAATGTTAAGAATGGTTGTCCTCCTCCAGAAACCATATTCAAACAAAAATATATTTTCACTCCTCCATCTTTTTCCATTTGCAAACATTTTAAAAAGCTCCCGAGAGCCACTAGGCAGCGCTAAAGAGCCACATGCAGCTCCAGAGCCACGTGTTGCCGACCCCCGCCCTGGAGGATACTATGAAACTTCACAAGGGAGCTATTATAAATTCCCCAAGGGATGGTGACCTTTTGGATGATGAGAAAACATCACATTTTAGCCACTGTGGTCAAGATCTGAGAAATATTTTTGCTTTTGTTGTTCATTCAAACATATTTGCGAATACATTTATTTTTTCTTCCAGTAATAGTAAGTGGTTGAAGAGTGCCTGCCTTCTGCTCAGACTTGTCCCCCAGTGATATGTTGCACTGACCAAAGTATGACCTGCATGCTTAAAAAAGCACCAGGCAAGGTGAAGGTTCAAGTTGATGAAGGCAAACTCAGATACAAAGAAAAACACTCATCCTTAAATAAATGGAACTGGAACATGTTAATCATATACTTTGGACAGATACTCTGCTTATTTTGTTGATGGAAAATCCAGCATTCACTAATAATAAAAACAGGAGTCGCCAAGAAGGGTCAAAAGTGTTTTTGCTGTTGCTCGTTTGATGCGGCTGTGGTGGGCCAAAGGTAAATTTTATTTGTTTCACAGAGCAACTTGCAATGATAATTGGAAGCAGCATGTTACCTGTTTCGCCTTGCCCCTTTGTGAACGTCTGCGGTGAAGTGGAAACTATGCTTGTGTGGGTCCCTATCAAACAAAAGAGATGTTTTGCTTCTCCTAATACTTATACATGACACAGCTGGTTAAACACAGCAATCATCACAGACTTGGAACCGCCTCAGGTGGTGGTCCGGAGTACTCTTTGAGACTAGGGCACCCCCCTCCACTGCGCAGGTTTTCAGGTGCATATATAGCAAGATGTCATACACGGCCATTTCTCAGTAATTCAAAGCAACTCATGTTTCACATGCAGTAGCTCACTTTGCTCCGATGACGGATGCCTGCGTTTCAGTAGAGCTGGAGACCGTGGCACAAGAAACTGAAAAAGAAAGTGTTTTCCCAATCGAAAGGTCGCTTTGACAATCAGCCACTTGCAGATCTCCTCTGCGCATGCGTGAGAATGGGGGTGAAAAAACAGCTACCAAACAACAAGCGTTTTTTTATAACAGAACATTGGAGTGTGCCGAACTGTACACTTTCAAGCTTGCAGGCATTGTTTAAAAAGGCTTTGAACCTGATGTGACAAAACGACGGGTGCGCTTTGTGCCATGCTTAACTGCTCTAATGGAATTTGAAGTCTTGAACTTTGGTGTGAAATAAGAAAAAAAAAAACAACACACCATTGCAAAGCATTGGAAGCATCCGTTCATTCGTCACAATAAGCAGACAGAAAAAGATCCAGACGGACGAAAATGATTGATTCAAATTGTAAATTTCTTGAGCACGTTTATTCACGAGGCGGCATGGTGGTCAACTGGTTAGCACGTCCACTTCATAGTGCAGAGGTGCAGGGTTCAATTCGGGCTCCGGCCTTCCTGTGTGGAGTTTATATGTTCTCCCTGTGCATGGGTTTTCTCCCGGTACTCCAGTTGCCTCCCACATTCCGAAAACATGCATGGCAGACTGATTGAACAGTCAAAATTGTCCCTAGGTGTGAGTGCGAACGGAAATGGTTGTTTGTCTATGTGTACCTGCGATTCGCTGGCAACCAGTTGAGGGTGTACCCCGCCTACTTCCCGAAGACAGCTGGGATGGGCTCCAGCACCCCCCGTAACCCTAGTGAGGATCAAGCGGTTCGGAAGATGGAAAAAAAAAAAATCAGATTTTGTTATCTTGCAACAAAACCAGGATCGGGCACACTGGGCCACCCAAGGTATTCAAACAAAGTACTTTCATTAAAATCTGATGTTCCATTTCAAAATAAAAGGCCTCTGAAATATGCCAGTGTGACCTTTACACTTGATTTTTTTTAAAAATCATTAAAAATTCAGTTTTCGTTATCCCGCAACCAGTTTACTTCTAGTTCACTTTGGGCGTGTACCTTGAGTGGACTAGTGTGCCCTAGATATAGTCTGGTTCTTGAATTTTTAATTATTTTTACATTTCAGGTGTAAAGGTCAAAATGGAATATTTCACGGGCCTTTTATTTTGACATGCATCATCAGATCTGAATGAAAGAGTATTTTGTCTGGCTACCTAGGGTGCATGAAAACTCCACACAAGGAGACCGGAGCCGAAATGAAACCCTGCACGTCTGCACTGTGAGGTGGACGTGCTAACAAGTCGACCACCGGGCTGCCCTCATATTTAATTGTTTGTTTTTTTTGGTGTAAAAGTCAAAATTGCAGATTTCAGAGGCATTTTATTTTGAAATGCAACATCACACCTTCATGAGAGTATTTTCGTTAGACAGTTTCGAAAGAATGGACAGATTTAGATAGTATGGATGGCCTCGTGTGCCTTAGAAGTAGTCTGGTTGCAGGATAACAAAAACTGATTTTTTTTTTTTTCAGGTATAAAGGAAAAACTGCAGATTTCAGAGGTCATTTATTGTTGGGATTGTATGATTGCCTTTTACGACTGAGCCAGTAGAGGGCAATATAGCTCTACTTTTGTTTCACAGTGAGTGACGTGGTCGGCCCTATAAAAGGGAAACGCCTTTTCTTTTCGCCCCTCTCCACCTGTTCAATAAAACACGCCGATACATGGCTGATGAAAACACCTCGCTCAAATTGTCATTCTTGGATGTTAGGCAGAAGGATGCCAATCTGCACGCAGCTGTGAAGCGACTCTGCTAACATTTATTTTGAAATGTAACATAAAATCTTCATGAAAATAATGTGGTTGGATACCTTGGTTCCCTTGACCTGGTCTGGTTCCGGGATAACGAAAATTCATTTTTTTTGTATTTTTTTTAAATCAAGTGTAATTTTAGTCATTGATGCAGAGTTAACGAACTTTTGTTTCTATCTCAACTTCAGAACGCTTCAATGTGCTATTCTGAGACAGTTTTTATTCTCCTTGGGTGAACTCGTTGCCTGAACCCTAATAAATTATTTTATAACATTATTTTAATTACAACGGGCGGCCCGGTGTCAAGTGGTTGGCGCGTCGACCTCACAATACAGAAGTCGTGGGTTCGATCCCGGCTCCGGCTTTCCTGTTTGGAGTTTGCATGTTCTCCCCTTGCCTGTGTGGGTTTTTGTCGATTTAAAATAACGTTATTGGATCTGCTTCATTAAATTTAGCGGCATCGGTTGCTGTTTTGGCAATTTTTGCGGCTTAAATTATATTAAAACCGCGGTAAAGTAAAAACTCGGACTTCTAGGTGATAGCAGCTATTGCTCCACTGTTTGCATTAGTAGCAGCCCCTACTGATACATATTCGCAGAAAGTCGGTAAGTACGGCAAACCCCTTTGGACAAAATATGTAAGTGCCCTGAAAAAATCGATTGACGTTCCATATCTACAAACACTAATCTATAGAATAATTCCACATCTACACCTGAATATTATTCTTTTTTCCTGGCAAGGACACGGAAACTCCACCGAACCTCGCAATTTTTTCGCTATATTTGGTGAACTCCCTTTTGTGCGTTATGAGCTGCGGGCGAGCTGTCATTGATGGCTCAGCCGAAATGTCGAACAACGGAGTAAGAACACAAAAAAATAAGGTGGCTGGACAGAGCCCTTTGGAATGGGACACACACACTCGATTGGAACGGGGCACAAGGGTGAAAGTGTGGGTAGTGGAAATTTTTCGATTGAGCCATTGTGAGTCCATCATATGTACTTCCGTGGGCGGAGGAGGAGATTGAGGATATTTACGTCGACGACAACAGATGATGTAACTGGAGCAGGTGATCAGCTCACTGAGCTCACTCTACATCCAGGTTGCTGGCTGAACTTGTTTGGCCTCGGACCTGGACGACGTGTAACAATCGCGGTACTGTTTATACAACAGACGATGCTACGTTGAGGAGTACAGTACCTGTGGTGTGGTGGGAAGTAAGTGTGGTGATACTGTCCTGTCAAGTGACACCCTCTTTGTCATACGTTAGTGGAGACGCACGGGCTGTTATTCTAAGACCATATCGGCCAAGGTTGAAATATTCTTCCGACCTTGTTGTTCCGGTTGGGCATCCGCCACTGAACCACATTCCACCGTATCAAACGATCATGAGCAATTTTCGTGACTGAGAACGACACGGCCGCGACACAAGAACACGGAAAATAACCCCATTAGGAATATTTTCGATTTCCTCGTGATAGTTACGTTAAATCGAGTTTTCTGGTCTTATTTTCGGTCTCGTGAATTAATAGAATTTGCCCAAGCTTATTGCTAGCTTGTGCAATCAGCGCACGGAACATCCCGACAGGTAATGTTAGCAACTTAATACCACGGGTACATGTGTATGTGTTCTTCAAATCCTTATAATAACCGACTCTTGTGTTGAGATGGTGTTGTTGTTTAGCGATAGGCCTAGTATCGCCGAGTAGCCAATGTAAGGCAGTTCATATGGAATTGAATATAAGCAAATCTGCAAATGTAATGTTCTGCAGGTTCCTGTTTGCACAAAATGCACCATTATCAGAGCAACATACGTATTTCTCAGAAAAGATCATTAGAAGGTCAGACTCTTCACAGGCACCCAATTTGATGTAAATTCACCAAGTTAGCAACAGAGGGGAGCATTAAGCGTATTAACGACGTTCTTCATCCAGGACTCACCACAAACTCAGAAGCATGACTGTCTTGTCCTTTACATGTTATATTTAAGGAGAGGACAGGCTTGGTGTGTGACCCCCATGATCCAGAAGAGCAGCCATGCACAATCCATCACCTGAAGGAGTGGCAGAGTACCCTGACGGATTCGCGGTGGCTAAAGATGCCACTCCAGAGACAACGCTGGGCACTGCCTACTCTCCAGTGGACTACATGAGCATCACAAGCTTCCCCAGGCTGCCAGAGGAAGAAGTGATGCAGGGGGACATTGCCTACAAATCTCGTAAAGATGATGACAACGTCCTCGGCGAACAAGAGACAGGTCCGTAATATTGTGTCACATGGCATTTCCGAAAAAAAAAAAATCCTCGAAAGACTCTTTGCGTGTTGTATGCATGAGGAATTCAGAAAAGTAGTGGTAAAAATATTCTATATATTTTCCATTTCAGACCCAGACATATTTTTGAGGTCTGCTCGTCTTCAGCGTCTCCCGTCCTCAGCATCTGACCTGGCCTACCACGATACCGTGTCTTTGAGGGAGACAACCAAAGACCCTTTTACACAAGATTGTGCTTGCCAGCGGGATGGACTGAGTGTCATCATAACAGCCTGTCTCACCTTTGCCACAGGGGTCACCATTGCTCTCATCATTCAGATCTACTTTGGAGACCCCCAGGTGGGAGTGGGCATTAGCATGTTACAACAGGGGTGATTTGCTGAAATATTTCTGGCCTGATGAGTGAAGCTACACACATACTGCCTGCTTTTTCTTGCTAGGTCTTTCACCAAGGAGCGGTGGTGACAGATGTGGCTCGGTGTACATCCCTCGGGTTTGAGGTTTTGGGGAAGCAGGGGTCCAGCGTTGATGCTGCCATCACTGCTGCCCTCTGTTTGGGCATTGTACATCCTCACACCTCTGGTTTAGGAGGGTGAGTTGTCCCAGGAAAAATCCCGTATACATTGGGGAAACATTTTTATTACATTTGCCTGTATTTACCGATATGTCTATTTGATGTCCTCAGGGGTGGAGTTATGTTGGTGCATGATATCCGAAAAAATGAGACAAGGGTCATTGACTTCAGAGAAACAGCGCCGGCTGCCATTCGGGACGGGTTACTCCAAACAAACCTTGATCTCAATGTGAGGCATTTTATCCCATGTAGCTGTTAAGCAACTCATGCTTTTAGGATTTTCAAATTGCATGATTTATGTGCCTTTCAGCCCGGTCTGCTTGTTGGAGTACCAGGAATGCTCAAAGGGATGCATCATGCACACCAACTTTATGGCAGGTGTGTAATAATACATTTTAGCCTTTCAATTCCAGTGGTACACTGGCACCACAACTTCGACGTTCTTCTCCATAATGTATTCCTTCCACTCATGGCCTCGGGTCTTCATTTACTGAACTATGAAGAGGCAGAACCAGAAATTATGTTATTATTTATTATAGAGATCAAAGAGCCCAACCACACTAATTGTACTTGTTTCATCGCCGTCTCATATGAAAGATGCAAGGAAGGTCAACTTAACAAGCAGAAAGTACTAAAACAAACCACAAGGAATGGCATCTAATAATGTCAGCCCAGCGAAATAGATGGACCCTTATGCTGCGGTCAGACCGAATGCGAGTTGATTGTTTCTCGTGTTGCATTTCCAAATACTATAGTCAATGCAGTTGACGAGGTCGCACACGAAAGCATGCCAGGTGGGGCACATTAAGTAATTTGAAGCAAAAATTTGTTTCTTTGCCCATTTTGCCAGGGTTTGCAAATGTGAACTTTTTTTCTCGTCACGGACAACTTGTTGAGAATGTACTTAGTACGTCATATGCGGCAGCACACGCACAAACAGGCACGCACAGCTTGGTGAAATAAAACAATGTAGGACACTATCATTACGGTCTCTGGGACCAAGAGGTAGACAACACAGCCAGCTTACAATAGCAACTGGGATAGAGCCAAAAAGAAGCAGGTTTGGAAAATGGAAAGCGAGAAAAGTTGTGATCGGGTGAGTGTATTGAGTTGTTTACTGGTGTTCAAATGTCAACCAAGATAGCATTTAACAACCAAAGTAAACCAACCACCTGTCACCAGATCACCCAGTGATGTTTAAACTTTATTTACTTATTCATTTATTTATTTTAATTCAGTTGAAGAAAGATGAACTCCTCCTATTCCCCACTTGAAGTGACCCCCATGTAGTTCCCCGGTGAACAAACCCATGCAAGACAAGCGGGGCATTGTGATATTTCGTGTTTGGTCTGAATTTAGCATCACAATTTGGCTCGATCATCCTCAATACAACTTGCATGATTTGACTTGATTGCAGCAGTCTCCAGTTTGCATGCGAGTACCAAATTATTTCCATCCATTACGTTTCCATCTCATCTTTGACCTAGACTCAATATTTGTAGTCCTAGGCTGCTCAACTGGCTCTGTGTTCAATTAGTTCTTGTATGTGTTTTGAATTGCTGAAGTGCAGAGAAACGACTGGAGGCACTACCAATTAGAATAGGGTCAGTCCATGTGAATTCACACAAATCTCCAGAGCCTCCCCAATGACATCTCTTCAGTTTGCCTGATGTTTTTTCTATTGGTGCCAATATGATGTCAAATGAAAGAATCCGTAGCTTGAGCCTCCTAGCCCAAACGGTTTTCAGGTTATGGCCTGTCAAAGTTTGAGCGCCAAATATAATGACAACACAAAACATTTCCACAATATGGACCCCCAAAATGTCCTAAAAAGGTATTTGAGTCACATTAAAAATAGCGATTCTTAAAGAGTTAATATCACTAAAAATACTACACCCGTGCTGTTTTTAAGTGCAGGTTCTGACAGACAGGGTCAGAATACAGAGATGTAGCAATGTACTGGTCTTTACCTACCTCAAAATAAGAGGTGAGGGCCTCCAAATATGGCCCAAAATTTATTGTGCAATACCTAGATCCCCAAAATGGGCGTGGCACTCAAACTTTGACAGGCCATAACCTGAAAACCGTTTGGGCTCGGAGATTTAAACTTCGGGTTCATTCATTTGACATCTTAAGGCACCAATAAAAAATTAATCAAGCAAATTGAAGTGATATCACTGCGGAGGGTGTATGACTTGACATGGAATGACCCAGTAACTAATGCAATTTTGATAAGCCAAAAATAAATAGTTCATGAAAACCCATATAGCTACCTTGCTGAACTGCTATCCTATTCCAAGGGCCCGTTTGCAAAAGGAGTACAAATGACAAATCATGATTCGTTTCAAAGCCTTTCCCAACTAAGCCAGTATTTCATGTCATAAATTTGCCAGAATACCGTGGAAGAACGTGGTTTCCATGGCAGCAGATGTGGCCAGAAATGGATTTAATGTCACTCATGAGTTTGGTAGGTAATATTAATGTGACTTGTAGGTCACTTGGAGGAAATGAGATTTGATGATTTCTGCCATCTTTTCATGTCCCTAGCTGAAGCTCTTGCAAATGTTAAGGACCAGAACGTCTCGGATGCATTTCGGGATCTCTTCTTACCTAATGGCCAGGCACCTGTCTCTGGGTTATCGAGCAGACGACTGGATTTGGCCAGAATCTTGGATGCTATTGCAGTTAAAGGGATATCAGAGTTCTACAGTGGAAACCTGACACAGGAAATTGCTTCTACGGTAAAGAATTAATTCTTCACACGCTCACTGAGCACTCATACTGCCCGAACATATCATTCCTAAAATAATGGCATATGTCATTTTTCATTATTTTCAGAAAACACAAAAATACTAATTAGATTATTTTTATTAAACATTTTATTTTCAGGGGAACAATTGAATGATCTGTGGATGTTGCTGATTTTTAACTGAGGTGGCCAACATCCTGAGATGTTGAAGGCAAATAATTATTTTTTGTTAAAATATGACTAGGAGGGGGACAATATTTTAAAACAAATACTTTAAAATATATTAACGTATTTAATTTATTAAAATGACATTTTGAGGGACAAATGTCTGATAATACACACTATTTCAAAAGTACCAATTAAATCTACTCTAAAACAATACATTGGTTTCTTCAGGGGTAACTCAAACCATTAGTATTTCAAATCAACTTTCCACTTTCCATGATCGGCAATGCCTTCGATATGTTTAAGCTTCCGCAAAAAACAACAGTGTAATGTTATGTGTTTTTTAATAAGGGAAATACCACTACACAGTACTAGTGTTGTGCATCTCTCCACATTCGATACAATTCTCCATACATATGGGGTACAACACGATTCAAAGATGTAAAGATTTTAAAATGTGAATGATTCATTTCAGTGCAATTACGATTCGATTTGATATGGCACGGCTGTAGCTTTTGTCATGTTTGTTAATATGCGACAACTTGTAAAAGTGTTCCACAGCCCAAACTATCCAAGTTGATTAAATTCAAAGAAACCACCAGTCATCAGCAATGTCAAACTGCTTTATATCTGGTGTACATCTGTAAGAAAACACGATTCGCTATGTATCTCGACACACGGGGTCCTACACAATTCAAGGATACGATTTTGAAATGTCACGATTTGATTTGGGTTGTCAAATCGAAAACAGATTTTCTGATTCAAATTTTTTTATTTCATCCATACGCTTTAAAATATTTTTACTTGATAAAAATACAGTAAGAACAGTTTGTGAGTCATGATTAATTTATTGCGGCTCCTGGTCAAAATTCATGATGACTTGGCCATCGGGTGGCAGTACAATACAGTTATGCAGACAAATTAATTTTACGCCTCTACTTTAAGTAAATCCATAATCTGGAGGAATATTTGCTGTTTTCTGAGTCTTTTTACACTGTTGCTGCACTGGTTGTGTTCAAGAATCCCTTCCTTAAAACCTTATATGACCGCCACACAGAAGCTATTTGTTCGCCCCTCTATAGTGGTAACCATATTATGTTTGCATTAGGCTAGTGGACTTAAAGACAAATTATGTGGGTGTTTTAAATACCCAATGTATAATTCTCAGTTTTCCGTTTAGTTTGGCAGTAAATCTAACTGAGAGCGGAAGACTCTTTTTTTGAAGAATTAGTCACAAAGCCAACATGCTGCTTGATGTGAAGTGAGCTCTGTTGAGTTAGCTACCACCCTACATCACTCGTATCTCAAGTTATTGCTCACAACTCAAAGCAAAAAAAAATAAAAATTGGACAGACGACAGTTCTATGTCAAAAAGGTCACTTGTATTTCAAGGCACGGTTGAAGTTTGAGATGAGCTGAATTGTAACAATGGTAATTTTAGGGTTTAGTATGGACTGAACAAGATTGAATTCAGTGACCTGACTCCTAAATGGCCTTGACTCTTGCGTTTCTCTGTTGTCCTCATTTGTATAGGTGCAAGCAAGCGGTGGGGTGCTCACAGAAGATGACTTTGGTAACTACAGCACAGTCCTAGAGCAGCCAGCACACATCAACTATCAAGGTGAGTACCAGTTTCATTCTCCATTTTCTTCCTTTATTTTTGCAACAAAAAATGCAACTGACATATTGTTTTTTATTGTGGATGTCTTTGAAGGCCACCATGTTATGGTGACTCCGGCACCCCATGCCGGTATTGGCCTAATCACAGCCCTCAACATCCTCGAAGGTTACAACATTACCAACCAGGTGCCCAGGAGCAGCACGTATCACTGGACTGCAGAGGTAGTGTTGACCCTTTCACTAAATCTTATTTAAAGTACAGTACAGTGGAACCTTGCTGACAAATTGGTGGATGTCCATTAGAGCCGATTGACGGTTGAATTTCCGTATTTTTTTCTGAATGATTGTAAAGTAATACAAAGGTTTATCCATTGAGTCCATAGATAAGAGCTTGACAAAAAAGAAGCTGAATGGCGTACTGAAGATATCATGTTCGACATACGTGCATGTACCAAATGATGAAAACTCGCTTCAGCCAACAATAGTTGATGCTAAGCTAATGTTGTCAGCCATGTTTTCCTTTACCTTTAATGGGACAGTTGCCCCTTTTGACATGGCTGCCACATATGTCCATATTTTGCCCTTGATGGGAAAGATGCCACCACCTAGGTACGTGAGCCTACCTTGGTCTACTGTGTCGCTGTGACAACAGCGTCACAACCAGGAAACACGTGGACCAATCTCTATCTGCGATTGAGCCACTCGCACTGTAGCCAGTTGGGGCAAAGAGATTTTGACAGCTGCTGAACAAAGGGGCGTTTTGAGTGGACTTGACACTATTTTCAATCCGAGGTTCCACTGTACAATAATTGATCTATTGTTTTGTTTTCAGTCAGTGAAAATAGCTTTGGCCCTGGCAAGTGGCCTAGGCGACCCCATGTTTGACACTTCAGTCTCAGAGACAGTCAGCAAGATGTTGAGGTACACGATGCATTGCTCTCTTCTGTATTCAAATGTGGTTTCTGTCAGGCTCGTTCATAGAGACCTTCCCTGTCCAATCTCTAAGCAAAGCACAGGGGTCCTTGCTCCGCCAAATGATCAACGACTCTCAGGCCTTCCCAGTCAGCCATTACACACCCTCGTTTAGTTTGGAGGATGGTGCTGCAGCTGCCCAGGTCATGATTATGGGCCCGGATGACCACATAGTCTCAGTTGTAAGGTATGCTTTCATGCAACTCTGGTTTGTTTGTTTGTTTATTTCGTTTTTATTTCTTTTTGGTATGACTGAACTGAAGAGCAAATAATTTCATACCATATTTTGATTTTTAGTTCCCTAAATAAACCGTTTGGCAGTCGGATAGTGACTCCTTCAGGGATCCTTTTGAACAGCCAAATAAAGGCCTTCTCTTGGCCAAATAAAACCCACAATTCCAGACCTAACCCTGTAAGTAAGCCTTATTAGTCCTGCCTTGGGATACGAATTTAATTTGTTCCGTGCCCACACTCGTATTGCAAATAATTTCTCAGTGAAATTAATGGAAATGTCGTTAATGCGTTCCGGCACAACATGCTTGACATGTAGCTTACTCGGTCATCATAGAATAAAAGTTTGAGTTCTCAAGTCAAAGCAAAAAAAATGTCTGAAGGATGGCCTGCATCTAAAAAATTAAATGGGATCGTCGTATCTCAAGGCAGCACTCTATTTTATAATGTTGGATGTCGATTTCTTGTCCCCTTCTGAAACATGGTTGATGTCATTAGCATAACAGCCTCCAGCCTGGGAAGCGGCCATTGTCCTTCCTGATGCCCACTGTAGTGAGGCCATCCAATGGGGTGTGTGGTACATACATTGCGGTTGGATCCTCCAACGGAGCGAAAGCTCTGAGTGGCATCACGCAGGTGATTATCTTCCATAACAAGTCTGAATTTTGACAATGAGTGGGTGGTATTTTACACGTGGGAGGATGGAGATGTATATATTTGTATGTTCATGCCTTTATTGATGGAATGATGTTTACTTATCTGTCACAGGTGCTGCTAAATGTTTTGTCCTCACGCAAAAACATGAGTGACAGTTTAGCGTATGGTAGATTCCACCCACAGCTGGAGCCAGACACGCTGCTGGTGGACTGTAAGTTTTTTTTCTACTCCTTCGTAAGCACATTCTGTGGATTCTCTTTGACAAAACTCTGCACAATGCATTTTGTAATTTTTTTTTTATGTCAATTTCCATTTCAGCTGCAGTTACCACTGTTGACTGTTGCATTTAAAGTATATTTTAGAACCTGTTCATTTGTATAATCGATTCTTAAACTTGTTATTAAATGTTATAATATTGATGATTGCATCCAAGTCCAATGCCCCATTCTCTCTTACAGCTGAATTTCTAGATGAAGATGTTGAGCTGCTGCTGGCCAAAGGCCACAAGGTTGAGAGGATAGATGTTTTGTCATTGGTGGAGGGCACCCGGAGAACAAATGACCTTATCGTTGGAGTGACGGACCCCCGTAGTGCTGATGCCTCAGCCCTTGCAATGTCCAGGACTTAGCCATTGTCCACAAACACTGATGCTTATTAATTTTGGACACCAAATAAATGGAATGATAATGGACTATTGTGGGTGAAATCAAGCCACACGAATGTGCAGTTTGAGATGAATTTGCAGCTGTTGCTTGGATAGATCATTTTAACTCAGTAGTCCAAGAGATCGTTGTTGGCCTGCTTATCACAATTTAATATAATCTGTTCTTCTCCAAACAATGCATTACCAATGTCTGCCAAGCACATACTACGTAGAAAATTTTATTTATCTGTTCCGATTCAGGCAGTCATGATCATTTACAGTTAAACACCTGACTACGGACAATAAATGTGAAATGAGACATGTAAAGTTTTGCAAACGGGATTCTTTGAAACTGCCTGGGCTTCTGCGCACATACAACATTGTTGCTGTACAAGACCCCCCACCCCTTGCCTGGTACCTTTCCAAAAGTGTCTACCTCCCTGTAATGCAATTGAAGCCGATATTAAGAATCAGAATCATCTTTCTTGACCAAGTACTGTATGTTTCAAACACAAATGAATTAGTTTCTGGTATCTGTAGCCACTCCACTAGTCCAGCAAACAAGCCAATATAACACAATAGACATTTAGGACATGAGCATATACTGTCAGTAGAGAGTCATTGAGCAATGTTAGGGTACCATTAGTGCTGTTAAATTGACAACTGTGCAAATGATACTGAGTTGTTAAGCATTTTAAAGTAAACAGTCATGCATAAGTCTGATTCAATAACAGTTGTGCATATGGTGCAAAGATTTCTCAAGCACTTAATATGTGTTAATACTGATCAACAAGTCAACATACAAGCCAAGTAGTTCAAAAATGTTGCACCAGAGGATAGCCACGCCAAATCAAATGGAACTGAACACTTTGGTAGATGTTGTTTGACCTACTTGCAAGTTAGCCCCCAAAAGTGTCATTCACACTCGTTACTGTATGTACACGTATATAGTTTTTTTTTTTTTTAATGCATTCGACCTCAGATTTTTTTATTTATATTTGGAATTGTTTTAGGCAGTGTACATAAAGGTTGGAAAACAGCTATTGTCAAGTTCTTGAAGTGCTTCTATTTTAGTGTACGCTGGTGATAATTTAATCTTAAATTGTGCAATATGGCTTTGACGCTTGTTTTGTCTGTCCAGTGCCATGGACACATTTGCACAATATGTGAATGTTTTATGTGATTGTTTTTCATACAACTCAACATTCTCCCTCATAATAAATTGTGACTAAGACTGCTCTATTGCACACACACTGTATATATTTATATGAAAGTGCTCTACTGAGTTAACAATTCTGTACTTTTATGTTTAGATTCTATACGGCCATTCCTGAAAACGTGTGTATAGTGTATATTGTGTACAATTAAGTGTTACAGTATTTCGTTTGGATTGATGTACAGCATATGTAATAATTTAACTGTCGCCGCTTATGCCACGTTCACTTATTTTGAAAAGCCAAACGGAAACCCTGAGCGTGCGTAATGCCGTGTTTTTCGGTATCCCTGTTTTGTTAGCTAATTTGGCTAGCAGATGTCGACAGGTCGAATTTATTTTCAGAAAACAATGTGTGGTAAGACATTTTCTCATCGTTAAGTAACATGCCACGAATAACGCCTAGCCAATGCGGTAACCTTAAAAAATAAAAAGAATTCTAAAGCTATTATGTGATTTTTCGAAGCGTTTGCGCTGAATTACCTGCACGTCGCTAGCGATTGCTAATTGAAGCTTGCTTGGATACCCAAAGTATCAGCATGGTTATAAATTAGATTTGTTCGTATGTGTAACTTGGCCTTACACAACCAGTTAGCTTATCGTGAAGCGATGTAAAAGAGATTAATACAGGATTTCTATTTTCTTTTTCTTTTTTTTAGATTAATTAATACAGGATTTCTATTTTCTTTTTCTTTTTTTTTTTACGTGTACAGAGGCTTTGTGCCAAGGCCTGCTACTCCAGGGCCGATCATGTTATCCGATCTTTTGAGGGTTTTTTAGATATTTTATGATAATTATTTGAATTGCAGCTTGGATAAGACAATGCCAAGCCTTTCATCAGTCAGCACATAAGCTCAGCATCACACGTACTGTGCGTGAACACGTGTTTTACCGGTTGTAAGATTTCTGGTTTCTGAATGTCATAAATCCGAGGAAAACAATGAGTGCGCAATTACATTCTATAATACTGCTTTACGGGGAGCGTTCCAATATCTTATCCTGAAGATTTTGTCGTACACGTGGACAAAATGGTTCAAATAACTTTAAATCTAACAATACTAAATAAAAATGTACAGGTATTGAAAATGAACCAATGAACATCAGACATGACTGTATTTTGGAGGTCCAACATTATTTAAAAAAAAAAAAAAACTAATTAAAGTAGCTCTTTTGCATTCCCGACCTGGCAGCACAGAGCAGAGTAAAATCAGGTGAAATAAAAGAAAATATATTTTAATCAATACAGATGAGTGGTTCTCAGAAAACCTTGTCCAGGAGTGTGACACATCACGAGTCCAAAACTGAACTTGTGCAAAATCGTTACAAATGCGATCATTTTGCTTTCAATCAAAACTTCTTGCAGTGTGCTTTGATTAAATAAATATTCCGGTAGTTCATGCGCCCCTTTGTTTTCAGGATATTGTTGAATGTTGCCCTCTACTCTGTTGTTACGTGTTGGTACGATTGTTACATGGACAACATATACTCAACATTCAAGTACCAAATTGTTTAAAATTTTTTTTACACTTGAACAGCTTCACTCCCTCCATACAAAGATATTCAGTTGAAAAACTGGAACATGCCACAAACGAATTTTTTTACACTTGAACAGCTTCACTCCCTCCATATTCAGTTGAAAAACTGGAACATGCCACAAACGATGATTTAGCTAGTCGACTAATCATCAACAGTCGTCGCAATGTTTTCTGAGAACCACCCATATACATCAAATTATACAAGACAAAATACACAAACGATGTTGTACAAACTTTTGAGAGAATCTCTGTAATCAAACGGTTCACTCAATGAGACTTGACATGTCTGGTGATTTATCTGATTATTCATGCGAAAAGTGCCCCAATCCAACCTTCTCAGGTATGAAGGGTGCCCCTCCCCAGAGTATATTTTTCATCTTCTTTAACAAATGTCAGCACTCTAAAAAAATAGTCCTTTTGACAGCCAACAAAGTGTTTCGTGCCATCATTATGCTCTGTGACATATGACACTTCAAATCATCGGTTCTGTGATATTTGCAGAATGATACAAGCTCTGTAGTGCCATTTCACAGTAGTAATATTCAGGATGTCGGAAACAAGCTTCAAGCTGTCGGTTTCATTTGACAATCACTCCCTTTTGTTAAAGAAAATCCCAACATTCATCATGAGAACATGGTTGAAGAAGCTTTGTGGCTTTTCTCCATAATGATTGTGGGTTTAGTCACTTACTGTAGTTTCTGGGACTGTTTCGCTAAGTCTGGCTCATGGTGTATTGAAACTGTGCAGGCGTTGCCGATTTGTCTCCTGAGCAATTGACAGTATCAGCCTTCGGATTGAATCATAATCGCTTGTTTTTCTCGTGTGGAATTTTAGCGTAAAGAGTGTTCCAACGCCACTCCCAGACAAAGAGGAGAATGGCTCATCAAGGCACTCCACCTCAGATGTCCCAACAGACCCAGGACCTGGAGCGTGACAGTGACTCCGACTGGGACTCTGGCATCAGCGATGACGTTGACAGTTGCCACCGAAGCCCTGAGACCGAAGAGGACCACAACAACCAAAATGCCACAGAAGACAGCATTGGGGCAGCAGCACATTTTACTGTTTTTGTTGCCTTTCAAGGGAGTATGGAAGATGAAGACTTCACAATTAAACTTGACACTGTCCTCAGTGGTATACCCAGCATGCTTGATATGGGTTAGTATCCTTTACTTAAACCTGTTTTTGGAATCCAACGCACTTGTCATTAGCAGGAGCCAGCCAATATGGATTGTTTTGTTTTGGAGATTGTTTTAGACAGAGGATGATATTGGGCAAAGAAAAAAAAATCTGATTCTCGATTAATCAGCGAAATACAAAAATTATATCTTGAATAAAATAAAAATGTACATTACAGGCAGAATATTTGATGCTTTTATATTACTTTGTCCTTTAGTGGAAACCCCATTCCAATGACATTTGGATATTGCGTTAGACGTAAAAACATAATACAATTATCTTCAAATCATTTTCAACCTATATTTAATTGAATATACCACAAAGACAATATATTTAATGTTCAAACTGATAAACTTTGTTTTTAGAACGTAATCAACTTTTTCTGAAATTTTGTTCCAAAAAAGCTGGGACAGAATCATGTTTACCACTCTGTTATGTCACCTTTTCTTTTAAAATTCAATTCAACATTTGAGAATTGAGGACACTAACTGTTGAAGCTTTGTAGGTGGAACTCTTTCCCATTCTTGCCTGATGTACAGCTTCCTTCGTCGTATTTGACGCTTCATAATCCGCCACACATTTTCAATGGAGACAGGTCTGGACTGCAGGCAGGCCAGTCTAATATCCACACTCTTGGATATCACGTTGTTGGAACACGCGCAGAATGTGGTTTGGCATTGTCTTGCAGAAATAAGCAGGGGTGTCCTTGACAAAGATATTGCCTGGATGGCAGCATATGTTTCTCCAAAATTTGTATGTACCTTTCAGCATTAATGGGGCCTTCACTGATGTGTTGGTTACACATGTCATTGGCACTCACACAGCCCCATACCATCACAGATGCTCTCTTTTGAACTTTGCATCCATAACAGTCCCGGGTGGTTCGTTTCCTCTTTGGCCTAGATAACACGACATCCACAATGTCCCAAAACAATTTGAAATGTGCACTCGTCCGACCCCATAGAACACTTTTTCATTTTGCATCAGTCCATCTTGGATGAGCTCGGGCCCGAGAAACCGGCAGCACTTCAGTGTTGTTGATAAATGGCTTTTGCTTTGCATTGTAGAATTTTTAAGTTGCACATCCGGATATGTGGCGCAGAACTGTACAGTAGTTACTGACATAGGTTTTCTGAAGTGTTTCTGAACTCGTGATATATTTTACACAATGATGTCAGTTTTTGATGCAGTGCCCTTGAGGACCGAGTTTGGACAACCCTGCCTTAAACTGTTCAATTATTTTGTCACGCAATGGTTCACAAAGAGGTGAACCTCGCTCCTTCTTTGCTTGTGAATTCAGGGAAGCTTATATTATTACCCCTTCATGGCACCTATTTGTTCCCAGTTAGCCTGTTCACCTGTGGGATGTTCCAAACAGGTGTTTGATGAGCAATCCTCAATTTTCTCAGTCTTTTTTGTCACCTGTCCCCAGCTTTTTCAGAATGTGTTGCAGCCATAAAATTCGAAGTTAAATATTTGCAAAAACAGTAACATCAGATTGAACATTGAATATCTTGTCTTAGTAGAAGACAAGATATTTGCATATCCAATTTAACATAGGTTGAACATGATTTGCAAATCGTTTTATTCTGTTTTTATCCATGTTTAACACAGCATACCAACTCCATTGGGTTTGTACTTTTAGTGATTTTACAAACAGAGACGAACTTTCAAGTCCAAAAATTTTTCCAAAAAAGCTTTCACTGATTAATATATCTTGGGTTATAAATGTATGCAGTATATAAGCGGCACAATGAGTGTTGTTACTGGCAAAATATTAATTATGCATGACACCCTGTAATGTTGCATCGTGTTAAATTAAAAATGTCGTACACTGTTTTAGTTTCTTTGCCATGTAGTGATGACTTTTAAAAAACAGATGCCTTTCTCAATGTCAAAACGTCTTCTTTGACAGAGTGGCATTTTAA